CGCGTCTGGAAGGGTTCAAATCTGATTCTGAAAGGTGTCATGCGGGGTACTTTGTATTTTCTACAAGGTTCCACGGTTACAGGTTCAGTTCATGTTGCATCATCAGAAGTTAAACAGGAAGATATGACCAAGTTGTGGCATATGAGACTTGGTCATATGGGTGAAAAAGGGATGCAAATTCTGTCAAAGGAGGATCTTCTTGCCGGTCACAAGGTAAAGAGCCTAGAGTTCTGTGAACATTGTGTTTTTGGAAAACTACATCGCAACAAGTTTCCAAAGGCCATTCATAGAACAAAAGGCATACTTGATTACATTCATTCTGATTGCTGGGGTCCATGCCGAGTTGAGTCTTTGGGAGGATGCAGATTTTTCGTGTCAATTATTGATGATTACTCAAGGATGACTTGGGTATACATGATGAAGCACAAAAGTGATGCTCTCCAGAAGTTCAAGGAGTGGAAAACATTGATGGAAAATCAAACAGGGAAGAAGATCAAGAGGTTGCGAACTGATAATGGACTGGAATTCTGTTGGTCTGAATTTGATCAATTCTGTAAGGATGAAGGGATTGCTCGACATCATACAGTCAGGGATACACCACAACAGAACGGTGTAGCTGAGCGGATGAATCAAACACTTCTGGAGAGAGCAAAATGCATGCTCTCTAATGCTGGGCTAGACAGAAGGTTCTGGGCAGAAGCAGTTAGTACAGCTTGCTACTTGATTAACCGCGGACCACATACAGGCATTCAGTGCAAGACACCTGTGGAGATGTGGTCAGGAAGAGCTGCTGATGAAGGTAAGTTAGAACCACGAGCTAAAAAGGGAGTGTTTGTGGGCTACGGAGATGGAGTGAAAGGTTTTAGAATCTGGTCTCCAGCAGAAAAGAGGGTTATTCTAAGCAGAAACGTTGTCTTTGATGAAGGTTCTCTGCTTAGAACCATCGTAAAGCCTACAATTACGTCAGAAACTGAGAGTCTTGATAAACAGGTGGAGCTTCAAGTTGTTCAGAACGAAGGTGATACGAAAGAACCTGAAGGGGAGAATCAAGAGTTACAGACAGAAACTGATTTCCCAGAATCTATGCCATCAGATACCCATCGCAGTATAGCTCAAGATCGACCAAGAAGGGTTGGAGTTCGGCCACCTATGAGGTATGGTTTTGAGGATATGGTGGGTTATGCACTGCAGGTTGTTGAAGAGGTAGATACTTCTGAACCATCTACCTATAGAGAAGCTGTTTTAAGTTCTGATTCTGAAAAATGGTTAATTGCTATGGGAGATGAGATGGAGTCCTTGCATAAGAATCAAACATGGGATCTTGTCATACAGCCTCCGGGGAGAGAGATCATTACTTGCAAATGGGTTTTCAAAAGGAAGGAAGGAATATCACCAGCAGAAGGGGTCAAGTATAAAGCCAGGGTCGTTGCGAGAGGCTTCAATCAAAGAGAGGGAGTGGACTACAATGAGATTTTCTCACCTGTGGTTAGACATACTTCCATCCACGTGTTACTAGCAATAGTTGCACATCAAAACCTGGAGCTCGAGCAACTTGATGTGAAGACAGCTTTCCTACATGGAGAGTTAGAAGAAGAGATATACATGACTCAGCCGGATGGTTTCCAAGTTCCAGGGAAGGAAAGTCATGTTTGCAAGTTGAAGAAGTCCTTATACGGACTTAAGCAGTCCCCAAGGCAGTGGTACAAAAGATTTGACAGCTATATGGTGAAGTTGGGTTACACTCGGAGCCCATATGATTGTTGTGTCTACTACAATAGGCTCAAGGATGATTCATTCATCTACCTGGTGCTTTATGTAGATGACATGTTGATAGCTGCAAAGCAAAAGTATAACGTTCAGAAGCTGAAGGGTTTACTTAGTGCTGAGTTTGAGATGAAGGATTTGGGAGCCGCTCGGAAGATTTTAGGAATGGAGATCATTAGAGACAGAGAGAGAAGGAAACTCTTCTTGTCGCAAAGAGGCTACATTCAGAAGGTTTTGACGAGGTTTGACATGTCTTCATCTAAGCCTATTGACACCCCCAGTGCTGCCAATATTCATCTCACTGCCATGTTCGCTCCACAGTCAGAAGAAGAGAAGGAGTATATGTCACGAGTCCCTTATGCTAGTGCCGTAGGAAGTTTGATGTATGCTATGGTCTGTACAAGGCCAGACTTAGCTCATGCAGTAAGTGTAGTTAGCAGATTCATGGGACAACCAGGGAGAGAACACTGGCAGGCTGTGAAGAGGATTTTC